TATATTGGTTGCTATCCCTTTCTATCAAAGAAGCCAAATGAACATGGTTTTTTTATAAGAATGGTGGTTGGATTAGATTTTAGATATCATTGATATACATATTTATTCTAATAATTACCTAAATAATATGTGTAAATAAAAGTAATTAAAAGTGGATAAATTTCATAATATCTTGTGGAGAAGCTTCATAGTTGTGGCTTTGCTTTTGTACATATCTATAGGTAAATGGTAGGTTAAAAAATTAGCCAACAGGCTGACCACATGTTGCACATATTGGCAACTTGTAGTATAAGTTGGACATGTGTTGGAGGTTCTACAGAAAAGTGCTATCTAGCTCTTAGTTAGATAATATATATAGATGCAAGAATGTGACCTTTCTCACTCTTATCAACTCTCTTCTTGCTTCTAGTATAATTTTAAGAATTTCTAGTTCTTTAGTCTTTGATATTAGCTATTCATTTTTTTAAAATATATATTATTTTTTATTTTTTATTTTTTTATTTCTATCTTTCTTCAAAAAATATCTAACTTGTTTATTTTATTTTTTTGAGTTCTTGTCTTAAACATTAAACCAATTAAACAAAAAGTCTTGATTCAAAAATGATCTCTATTTATATATTGCATGGTTGGTGGAAGGAATATTACTTTGAATCAACTTCAGGTTGAGTTTAGAATAATATGTCATGAATCATGTTCATTAATAATCACTTAAGAATAAAAAAATGATCAAAGTTCAACTTGCTAACTATGCTATAGAAAGAATCTTTACCTAATGCATCTTATTTTTATTTTTTATTAGCTTAATTTTATGAACCATTCTAAGATTTTATAAAATTCTGACTACTTGGTTTTTATTATTAATAAGAATGATGTTGTTTAGCTCTAAAGTTAATTTTTATCTAAATAAATAATTCTAATTAAATACTCATCCAAAAAAATTAATGTTGGTAGGTTGAAGTAAGATTAATTATTATTTTTCTTTAATACCTATATATTGAGTAGAAATTTAAAACACAACTTTTGATAAATAATTTGATTCTAATTTGTATAAATCAATCTATTATTATGGCTTTGATAAGACATTATTACAATGTAGTAAGTGATTCCAAGAAAAAAAAATAGATTTATGTATTTTAATAATATAGTAATTTTATCAAAAGTCTTTAGACTTAAACAAAAAAATTGTCATTTTTCAAGCATACAAAGATATATGATTGAAAGATTAAGAAGTAATACAAAAATGTATTTGATGAAAAGTTATAATTGATATAAGATTACAAAAATAAAATTTAGATTGATCTAAATTTTAATTTTAGAATATTAAAATAACTTTTTATCTTGATTCTTATATTTATTATATTAATTGGATTATATAGACAATTCCAAAAAAATCAATAAGATTTTAGAGATGTTTTTTTAATTTATTTAATATACACAAATAATTTAAAAGCTTTAAAAAAAAAATAATACTTGAAGTTGTGAAAATTTATATATTTGTAGTATTGCTTCTTTTCTTAAAAAAACAAAAGTATTAAAAAAATATAAAAATCATTATCTTTATATTTTTTTAAATAATAAAATTATTTTAAAATTATTTTAATGTGTATTAAATATTTATTTTTTATCAATATATGATTAAATATATTTAATTATTAAAAACCACAATATATGCTATTAGTAAATGTAAATAAATAAAATTATCTTCAAATAGGACTATAGAATATTCTACTAAAATAACCTCTTAACTACTTATTTTATTACTTTAATTATAATTAAATAATATTAGATTATTGATCTTATAAGAGATTTTTGTAATGAAAAAAAATGCTCAAGTTTGAATTTTTAGAATTCTTAAAAATTCTACAATTTGACATATTGAAATTATAAATTTTAGGCTGCAAGGTATCAATTAAAAGAAATATAGAATAATATTAGTTCAAATCTATATATATATATATATATATATATATATATAGATTTCAAAATATTCAATCTTATCAAAGTCAACTTTGAATTATAATCAATTCATTTTTTTCGGTTCCAATCTATACCACCAAAATTAATCTATTCTATGGAGTTAATACGATATAATAAACTATACTATATAAGTAATAAATTTCTTTGGTTTCAAAAGGTTAACTATAATAAGTTTTGATAGTATATTTATATTTATATTTAATAAAAATCAAAATAGAATGTTTCATCATGAAGTTATTTTTTAAATTTTATTTATATAGAATAATAATTATCTCTAATATTTGTAAGTAAACTATAAAAGACTAAGAATCATAAGACTAAATAGAAAAATAGATGATATTAAAACTAACCTATGATATTTGATTTATATCATTTATTTTTAAAAGTTAAATTTCTTTGATAATACCTATTATTGTTAAAATTAATTATCAACAATATTTAATATGTACTACAAATGTTTTTTTTAGTAATACTTGGATTTTCTATTTATTTAATTTTCTAATAATAAAATTATACATTCTATATTAATCTCTAAAAATCCTTTGGTATAATTGTTCCTATTACATATTTTCATAAAATTGGTATTTTTTTAAAATAGTATATTTTATGAATAAAATATTATTTTCTAAGTGCATATTCTATGTTATAACTTAACATTGTTATTTTCTAATAGAATATTAGTTCCAATTCATATTGTATTTTGAGCTTTGAACATTTTTTCTTTTTTGAATAATATTATGCAATATTTGTGAGCTAATACTCCACATACATGATTGTTCTCTTTTATTAGCAATTTAAGAAGATTCTTTATCAATTTGCATTAGATCACGTTGACTTTAGATATGTTTTTTTGAACTTCTAGATATTGTTGGTGTATTAATTTGAAGTATAATATTCAATTCAATTCTTATTATTGTTATTGTTTTATTTTCAGAAAATTATAAATTTATTTTATTATCACATATATTTTCAGTTTTCATATCTATCTATATATATATATATATATATATATCCGTGTACTTGACTTCTTAAAAATCATAATATATCTGTATGTATTAAACTTGAATAGTAAAGAGCTTAGAGAATTATTTGAAAATTTTATACTTTTAATTATTTTTGCTAGATATCAAGTGACTATTATTAACAAACACATGGATATTTATTAATGAATTTTTATTTTTATTTTTATTTTTTCTGTAATCTTAGCTGTGATGTTTATAAAATAGTTCAATAATCCAAATTCAAAGAATAATGCTGTAATTCAATGCTTATTTTTTAAAACTTTGATATTTTTTAAAACTTGTAGTGTAATATAATATGTGTATGTTTGTATGTATGTGTATGTGTAGATATATGTATATTCAAGTTTAGTCTTGGTAATAATAATAACAAAATGAGCTCAGAAATATTTTTAAAAAACCCAAACATATAACTCTCTATAGGCTGTAGTACATATTAGTGGTTCTCATTATGATTATTATTTTAAAACAATTCCAATTGTGTTGAAATGGATGAAGAGCTCACAACACATGAATAAATTGCATGAAAAATGTGGAAATCCTGCTAAGTATACAAATAAATAAATAATCCATTGTATTCTTAATCATAAACATTGATTGTTACAGGGACATGTATAGATTTTTTATCCTATTTTTTATTTTATTTTATACATATGAATGATAACTTCATTGAGTGGTTTGTAAAATCATTCATATGTATGATCATATGCGTAATCATCCACCCAACTCCACTAACATTTCTCCAGTATTATCATAGTTAATGAATGTGAGCGACATTAAGAACTTGTGGGTGCTTTAAACAACTTTCTTCGTGTGCAACAAGCTTTGGTGGTCATGGGGGGTCCCCCAAAACCCTATTTCTAATTCACATATCTGCATACATATATATTTATTCATACAAAGTAACCAAGCACGTGGTCCCAGACTTCTTGTCTCATTTTATGAGGCAAACCCCAATCTTTCGGATAGTGGCGGTGATCCTAAATTCTAGGAACCTTCCTCAGGTTGTAAGTCAAAAGGGTGTTGCTTCCATGTGGGGTCCAGGCAACTTCCTCTCTCTGACGTATCCATTGGCTAATTGAGTCCTCTTGCCTTTAACTTTAAAGGCAAACCCAAAGTATTGTTTTGAGTTGATTCTCCTTCTTCCTCCTTTTGAATATTAAATTCCATCGAGTTATAAGTAGAGTGGGAGTGTGCCGTTTGACCCAACACTGAAGTATATTCTGCATGAAAATGAGGATATCCTGAGGTACTTTTTTGTTGTGTCCCTACCACCATTTCGAAAGCTCGGATAAAAAATACTGATTATAAATGATCCCGGTGATCATCTTTCACATGATGTTGTTCGTTTCACAGCATATGAATATGTGATCTTTGTTTGGCTTTGCATTCTCAATTCCTGTGTATTTTGAGTTAATTAAAATGTTCAAATCTCTGGACAAACCAGTTGTGTATCATAATAAACAAATGAATTCTTTCTCTATGAAAAATCCACACCAAAAAAAGAGAATGATTAAACCCCATGAGTTACTCACAATAGCTTGAGGCCCTTAATAGCTAAATAATAAAAACTAGTAGAAAAGCATTTGTTGGGAACTGGATATAAGAATATTCACAGCAGCATAAAGTTGATTTTAATTATTATTTTGGGGATTCTACAATAACGACCCTCCAACAAGCGCAAAGATGAGTCCAATGGGAGGAGAGCTCACTAAAGTGCAATGAAGCGTGAAAACACAAAACGTGGAAAAATGGATAAAGGAGGTAATTCCACGCCAAAAGCATCGAGAATGGCTCATCGTGCGTTATGGAGAACAACACACGGCCAGACTGTCCAGGGACGGAGAACATCCAAATGCAGCCACGCTGACGACGGACGCTTGGCGGTAGACGATCGACGAGAGAAGAGGGGCCGTGAGAGGGGCAAGAGCGACGGCAGAGCGTGCGGAGAAACCGGTGCGGATCGGAGTGATGCATCCGCATCTCACCTCTCACTCATTCTTCGATGCCGATTTTGTCAAAGCGTGGTGGTCCGGCATCATTCCATTCCGCGTAAGCATATGCCGCTGGCGCTGTCGCAAGTTGGTTGCCAATCCCAGCCACCAGCACGGCGAGGAAAATCTTTGCCTCGGCGCTAGTGCCCCCGCACCATGTCCAGTCTGGTATGCAGTCCGACGGGGACAATATTTTTGAACGGGGGCTTGCTCTTTGCGTTGTCTGGACGACGAGGGTGACCGGGTGTAGTGGAAGCCTCTTGTATGTGTGTCTCTCTCGTTAGTTTTCTCCTGCACGCCGCATCACCAACTGGGCGACATCTGCTGCGACTGCCCGTGGGGCGTTTCTTCGCACTTTGAACAGGATCGAAATCTCTAGTTGCAGCTGGAAACTAGCCAACTGCTCCCTTTCATCCCTCCCCTATCTCTGTTTCCTATCTTGAGCTGTCTTGTCTGTCGCTTCGAAGGGTCTTCATCAACCCTGGAAATCGCTGCGGCTCGACATCGCTATTGGTTTCCAAATCTCAGGGTTTATGTAGTTAATTACGCGGGAAGACGCAGGGGAGCTTAATGTATGTACAGCGTTCTGGATCGATGCTTTCATGTGGGATCACTGGATTCGACTAACCATTTCATGGGACGAGTTGTTGGGGGTTTTGGAATAGTGTGAATTGGATGCGGCAATATGTCTCCTTGTTTTCCTCATTCTGGGGTTGCGCATCGCCAGTTCCTGGTGCCTGAAGGATCTGCAAACGAAGGCAGCGAAGAGTTTGGCCGGATGAAGGGCTGGATATAGCAGGTGTATGGGACCAAGGTTTTGGTCACGGATTAAGCTTGTGCATACCCCTAGCAGGAGCAACAGGGGGTTGAAATCTCCGGATTAGTATGTAAATCAGGTTCTCTTTGGGTGAATGCTGTTTTTGTATATGTCTGTAAATGATTAGATATATTGTAAGCTCCCCCACAGCCTCAGACAGAACTGGCGAACTTAAGGCCAGTCCCCACATAGATATCTTATGAGTGATGGTAAATTACGGAGACGGCATTTCCATTTCCAGGTGCCGGCTGCATTCTCGTCAGGGGATTCAATCAGCCCCGTGCTGCGCCGTAGCTGTCCATTTTCAAGGCACTCTCCCGTACACAGATCAGTGGGGATTCTGTCTCCGTTGTAACAGTTTTCTATAACTTCTCCTTATCTCATACTAGTACCGCTTTCCGATGAAGTCTGGCGGAGGAGGTACCATGATGAGAGAGGAAAATGAAAATCCTTTTGAAGAAAGGTCGGAGGCGCAATCTCATCTGTCGGTAGCCGACGACGCTTTTAAGAATGCGCAGGAACTTGCGGTTATGGCCTCGAATCCGGTACTCGTCATAGTAGACGCCAACAAGGAGGTCTCCACTCATGCTCTCGAGTGGGCGCTCACCCATGTTATACAGAAGGGAGACTCGGTGAAGCTGCTCGGGGTTTTGCATCACATTCTCAATCCAAGTAAGTCGGTCAGTTCATGCTCAGATTGGATTCCTAATCTGAAATGTTCGGTTTGGTTGTGCCTGGACTGATGACATTGAGATGCCTTTTCGCAGTGGGGTATAAATCTCGCGCCGACGAGAAGAGCTGGAATGGAGCGAATCGAAAAGTTTTGGAAAACGAAATTGCAATACATTTGGCTATTTTTGAGAGCATTCCACACATCTACGAAATAGTGGAGAAATTAGGGGTAAGCACTGCTATTTCTCTCTAACACACACGCTCTCTCTCTCTCTCTCTCTCTCTCTCTCTCTCTCTCTCTCTTTCCCATTTTCAGTTTGAGTGCGTATGTCGCGACTTGATTGAAAATTAGTTCACTAGCATGACCCACCTGACTGTGGTGGTTTACCTGTATGTAAAATCCAGTGCCTTATGTTCCGAGGAAAATTTAATGTATGAAGAAACCTCCTAATCAGAGAGTTATGGATGAGCAAAAGAGTGCTAAATGACCTCCAAGTCCTCAATGTCACTTCATATTTACAACTGCACTCTCAATACGTTCCTCTCTGGATTCACTTCCCTCCTGCTCGTTACAATCAAGACACTAAGAGCATTGGATTCTAGTAGTATTATGTTATCTTGTCACAAAAGCGCATGAGCAAAACCAGGAACTGACGAGACATTTTTGTAGGCTAAGTTGGAAATTGAAGTGCGGGCTCATGTTCATCCAAAATATCTGGTTGTGGAAGAAGCGAAAAAACTCAAAGCGCGATATGTCGTTATTGATAGGTATGCGTGACTGTTTGCACTCTGTTTCCTTTCACCTATCAGTTTTGTAACTATCAATGTGAGGTTCAAGATTCTCGTTTACCTTAAATATTTTTTTTCTGACGAGGATGTTCAGGCATATCAAGAAGGATAAGAAATTCTACATTAAGAATCTATCTTGCTACGTGACACGAGTGAAGACGGTCGTGAATTTTGAGCATCTCCGTCATGGTTTGCCTGAAACCGAGGAACCTGTGGAGGCCGTCCAAGCACCTGCGGTGTCGAAAATAGCGCTTGATCGACCTCAGATGCCAGCATTGCAAGACTCTTCCACTATCACAATGCCGCAGTCGCGAAGCATTTCACAGCAGCATCAGTCTAAAGAGCCGCTATTGCCTTCCAGCGACTTCATGGCTAGAATGAGGCGCCGCCCGGGTGACTATAATCCTTACAACACGGGCTTAACATCTGCGGCCACAGCAATGCGTGGTAGATTCTCCTACGGTCCGCGACCAAGTTTCAACATGGCTGACGCCACGCGGGAGTTGGCTGCACGACAATGCCTGGCACACTCGAGTTGTGCGAGCGATCCAGCTTTGTATTCTAGAAATTCGGAACTTGGTGAGTGTCAATCTCGAATTTCTTTAATCTCAAATGAAGAAAGCATCTTCTGTTGATGGCTTGGATTCAGTATTGATTTTTTGTGAGCGTCATGGTTATTATTTCCCTGCAGGTCACATGGCCATAGGATATCCTGAGAACTCGGTAGGGGATCCCACTTCTCCACCGCAGACTCCTGCAGTTACAGAATTTCTCGCAGGGTACAGGTTAAATTTGTGTTATCAAGGAATGGGCAACGCCCTGCCGCCGATGTCCATGCACAAGCCAAAGCCGAATCGGATGTCACAGTCGTCATCGATGTATCTTACTTCCAAAAGCTCTCATGACCGACATTTTAACTTATTTCAACACCCTAGTGAAGCCGCCGCATTGGAGAGCACAGGACCAGAGAGCGCTGTAGCTGAATTACGGTCTATAACCTCCAAAATGAGCCTCTCAGATAAGAGCCACGGCGGTCCTATGCCGATTTCTGTACAGCCAAAGCGAGTAGCAGATGCAAACTGGGGTCTAGAATTGCTTGGAGTTGGTAATACAGTAGTGCAAGCTTCAGGAATGACTGAGGAGCCTACACCAGTTGATAGTAAGGATCAATCAGAACTAGGGCGCTCGTCCAGCGTCCGACAGGCTGTAGGAAGCAGGATACAGAGTCCTGGGGCGCCTCCCTTGTGCTCATTGTGTGGACAGAAATCCCCTGATTTTAGTAAGGTGAAGAGATTTACCTTTCTGGAGCTACAGAAAGCCACGAACAATTTCAGTGGAGAGCATTACCTAGCCGAAGGGGTGTACGGGTCGGTGTACAAAGGGAGGTTGAAGGACGGGCAACTAGTGGCTGTGAAGCAGCACAAACTGGCAACCTCGCTGTCTGACGAGCAGTTTGCCGCAGAGGTTGAAGCTCTCAGTTGTGCACAGCACAGAAATCTTGTGACGCTTATTGGTTACTGCGTGGAAAACAAACTCCGCCTGCTTGTGTATGAGTATATTTGCAATGGCTCCTTGGACAGACATCTTTCCCCGAAGAGCAAGTCGGGCCTGCAGTGGAAACATAGGATCAAGATCGCTCTGGGAGCAGCTAGTGCGCTACGGTACTTACACGAGGAGTGCCGCGTCGGATGCATCATCCATCGTGACATGCGACCCAACAACATCCTCCTCACCCACGACTTCACTCCAATGGTTGGAGATTTTGGTCTGGCACGACGCCAACCTAGTGGAGACGAGGCGGAGGAAACCCGGGTGCTAGGCACCGCTGGGTACTTGGCTCCAGAGTATGCCGAGACCGGCAAGATCACCGATAAAGCAGATGTTTACGCGTTCGGTGTTGTGTTGCTGGAGCTCATTTCGGGTCGCAAAGCCATCGACAACTCGCGACCACGAGACCAAATGTTCCTGACGGAATGGGTGAGCATTCGACGACATGATCGATCAATCTATCTGCTTATTGTTAAATACTTATGTCTTACACACTCTTATGAACATTTAAAATCGCAATATGTCCGATTCTAAAGGTTTCTAACTGTCTTTCTTTTAGGCCCGGCCCTTGCTGGAATCCTACAACCTGTCCCAACTTGTGGATCCTCGCTTGGGGAACAATTTCGACGAATATGAGATGCATTGCATGATGCATGCAGCCAATCAATGCATTAAGAAAGATCGGTTGATGCGTCCACGTATGATTCAGGTCCGTATTCTCCCTTCCTCCCACTTTTCTTGGTTTTCGATGTTTTCAATCGAATTCGCTCCTGCTCCAAACTTCTGCGAATTTTCTACATTAGACTTAAATCAGATGCTGATTCACATCTGATGACCGTAAAGAGGTTTGTTGCAAATCAGATCATGATGCCAAGGAAATGGGTCGTAGAGAATGTTAACTAAACTGGGAAATCTTCCCCTCTTGGCAGGTTCTCCGTATCCTGAATCCACCGGAAGAGAGCGACTGGATCTACAAGGGGAGCAAAAGCAACGCCTCCCCTGGGGACAGATCCCCCCGAGGAGCAATGGCCAGCCCCAGCGACAGCGAACTGTCCTCGTGCCCAGTCTCCTCCAGGAACTCTACCGGCGTCAGCTGCTCCCAGTCCGAGGCATCCACGGGTTCGTACTCGGGCGCGAGCGACACCGAATCCGTGGCCTGCGCGCCACGCTCGAAATTGTCCAAGCTCGGCAGCAAATCCATCTGGAGGACATTTTCGCGGGAGAAGCTGTCCTGCGACGGCTCGTTCCGTGACATCGCGGCCGTGAACCGCATGTCCTGCGACAGCGACATGCTGTGAAGATTGGGACCCCGAGACTACAAACCACTTTTCCGGTCTTGGAGATGTTAACGGCTGAAACGTCGTGTCACCATGGTTTTGGATGTCAGCGAAGAGTTCCAAGTTTAGAATGTATAACGCTGAAGCCTATTCCCCCGTCCAGAGAATGGAGGATAGCAACGTTGCATTCAACACGAAACTCGCTTCTAGACCCAAGGGAAGAGTGGTCACATGAGATGGGCACCCACCGAGATGGGAAAACCATAAGAATTGTTTAGCTCAATGACTCTGACCTGACTATGGAAGGCGGAAGGAGGCGTGATGCAAGTTCTCGGCCGACGATTTTGAGTGCAGATCAGAGAGATAAGACTCCTGCAGCGGGTCGATGCTGTTCGATCCGCGCGCCTGGATGAGTGTACACTGTAATGTAGATTCTATCGTACATGAGGGATTGTTTTGTACATAAAACGGTATTCTGCCTACAAGCCATCGAATGCGGATTCTATCCCTCAATGCCTTGTTCTTATCCACCACTTGCCGGATACCCTAGCTCATAGCACCGTTGCTTTGCGGTGATCAGTTCTTTCTTCATCTCTTGCCTGCGTAGCTGCCATCGTCCTACTCTGTGTCTGCCGCTGCGGTGTTTTCTATTTGCATTTTGATGCCGTCTTGAGTAATGATGCTGATGGAAATAAAGAGAAATAGCTAGACGCTCTGACTGTTACTCACACTGAAGCTTTTAAGACGAAAGAGGAAACTATTCAATCAACACGTAATGGATCAGAATTATACACGCTTGGTGGTGTCTCGACTGCATGCGGGTTAAAGCGATGAGTTGTAACAAAATTTTGTTCTTTAGGTTGAGTTTGGTGATCGTTGTCCGTTTGGGTAATCTGGATGCTCAAGTGTCTACACTTTGTCAAGCTGGATGTTACTGGATGTTACACGTAGAATTGGTCGTGCCGCGTAGGATTTTTAACACCCTCCTTCAGGCCAGTAGGACTTGGCACTATCGGGATGTAACGAAACTAGTCAGAGTCTATGGTGGATAACAGAAGTAAATCAATGGTTCTGCAAAGTGATGAGAATTAATCGAGAGGGAGCGCTTTGGTTAGGAGATCCGCTAGCTGATCGGCGGTAGGAATATACTGGATGTTGATACCGCCGAGCTGTTGATGTTCGCGGCTGAAATGGTATACGACGTCAATGTGCTATGTGAGCTTGTTTGTTCATGTCGGATGCCAAAGTCAGCTAGATAGTTTGTGAAAGCTTTGCCTTGGAACTCCCCACCGCAATCGCTGCATAGAGTATGGATGCGATTCCGGGTTAATTGAGGGACTAGAAGGCAGAGTTCTTGATCTTCTTCAATACATTAGATTTCTGGCGGATGCAGTGGATGATGCGGTAGCTTGAGAAGTTGTCCTTGAAGAGCACAAAGTACCTCGCCTTTCTCAGAGATTCTTGGCTCATCGGGCCACAGACATCACTATGGAAAAGGAGTTTGGGCTTCGTGGCTCGCGGTAATGATCGGTGTTGTGGAAATGGTAGTCAGGCGCTCTTTCCTTTTGCACATCCTTTGAACGGGTGTTGTAGTGGCGCATGGTCTTGCAGTCCCATTCCCTAAAGAGTACCGTGAATGTGCATGTGGATGAGCATGACATTGTGAGCGTGGCAGAAGCGCTGATGCCACAGAGTCAGCTTCTTTGCTAGTACTTCGCGTGCTTATCTATGCTTGAGAATCTCGTGGCCTGACAGTCTTTTGGTTTGGGTTCCGTTGTAGGCACTGGCAATGTTGGCGTGGGCGGGTTGGTAGTTGGCTCACAACTTGAGCTTGTATAGTTTATTCACACGGAAATCGGTTAACACAATTCTGCCACGACATTTATTGCAGGTGCGGCGTGTGTAGGTGGTTACTAACCCCGTGTCTACTACTTGGCCCACTGAAAACAATTTTTTTGCGTAGCTCTGGGACATAGAGAACGCGTTGTATGCATTGGGGCTTCCAGGCATCATCAACTTTGCATTTTATATTTATGTGGCCAATTCCTCGCACCTAGAGGCGCCTATTATCCGCAGTCATTACATGCCATTGTCCTTGGAGTATGGTTTTGAAGGAGACGAACCAGTCTAGACGGTTGATCATATGGTCAATGGCGCCTCCGTCCATGTATCATGCGTCGGCATCGTCGACGTGCTCTGCATCGTGGACCATAAAGGTAGAACTGTCGTCTTCGTCAAAATTCTCGGTTACCACGGCGTTTGCTTTGCAGCCCTTTGCATCCGTACTTTTGACTGCCATTATCTCAATAGGTCTGTGCTTTTTGTCTTCAAAGCATTCTCGCTCCAAATGCCTACTTTTGTTGCATTTTTTGCACTGAGTGCGCTTTTTCAGTTCGAAAATCCTCACAGACCGCTTCCTTCTCTCTTTGGTGGAGAAGGGTTTGTTGCTTGAGCTTTGATCCCAGTTGGAGAAGAAAGCTTTTTCTTCCTCGTCATCCATGCATTCTTGTATCCAATTTCTACTCTCTTCTCTTAGCAACCGTAGTGTGAGTGCTTCAATGGTCTGCTTGTGTCTTGGGACGCTGTCCCAGGCTAAAAGTGGGTGGCAAAATTTGTGGGGTGAAGTACTCAAGATGTGCGAATAACTGCTTGGTCCCAAATTGGCTCACCAAGATTGTTTGGTTGACTTGCGAGTTGCTCTATGCAGCCAACATGGTCGACTACTTCAGCATCTAGTTTCATTCTCATGTCAAAGAACTGTTGCTGTAGCAATTGCACATTTTCCGTAGCATATTATTCAAGAACTATATGCAAACGACGCCACATTTGGTTAGATGTGTGACAATTCATCACAATGCCTAGTAGCTTCTTTGCACGCAATAGGATGCTTATCTATAATTTCTTAACGGAAAAATTGTCTCCTGTGAGTTTGTCTATATTTGTGATGCTGATATTAGTGAAATCTTGTCTAAGGGGAGGTTGTGCAATGAAATAAGGCAGGCCAGCGGAGGGCTGACTGCGGATGAATCCGTCCAAGGTCTCTTCACGGATGAGCACAGGTTCTTCTTCCATTGCAGCAATCACAGATGTGAAACAGAGAAAAGTAGAAGGAAAAAGTTTGTCTCTCGCAAGGGGCAATTGTGTGCGTAGGTCGTAAATCAAGGAACATATAGAATGGAAGATAACTAAAGATCTATTTTTCTAGCTCGAATCCATTTTCTGAGAGACAGTGAAATATGTAGGCCTGTAACCTAATGGAAATGAAGAAAAATAGCTTGAAGCTCTGACTCTTAATCATAAGGTAGTTCTTAATACAAAAGAAGAAAACTATTCAATTAACGCGTAATGGATCAAAATAGTACATACTTGGTGTCTCGGCAGCATACAAGTTTAAGCGGTGAGTTGTAACAAAATTCTGTTTGTTCGGTTGAGTTTTGTGATCATTGTCCGTTCAGGTAATCTGGATGCTCAAGTGTGTACACTATGTCGAGCTGGATGTTACACATGGAACTTGTCGTGCCGCGTAGGATTTCTCAACAGGTGCTGCACAACTGCATGCCTCTTCACCGACAGTCACCAATTTCGACTGTTTCCAGCACCTATCCATGAGATGTGTCGGTATACAAACTCTCGGAAATATAGTTTACTGTATGTGTGATAGTAAGGACTGGGGTTAAGTACAGAAATATTTCTCATGAACTCCAGCTCTACCGCCTTACTTGGAATTTCAAAACCATTTCTGGCTCTAGAGATGTTTCTCATGAGTATTTCTTTTACGATGTTTATGGGTTTTAGTTAACGTTCTATTGAGAGAATGAAATATAACTTTGCCCAACTGCAAGACTTTTTTGTGTCCTTTGTCTGCAACTTCTTTCTTGGTTGAAACCTTTCTTTTCACATACAATTGAAAAATGAATAGATTTCAATTCTGTCATTAATATAATTGTAACTTGAGATATGGTCGATTTCTATTTTTACTAATACAGGTTGATTTCATTTAGTATACACATTTTGTGCTAGTTATCCACTAAAATTATGGTTCTGCATTAATTTGAAAATCAAAGAAAAAAAAAGCATTCATCATATTATTATTATTATTATTGCTTTGATAATTTCTAATATATTTAAAGATTATTTAGTTTGAACCTATTACTGTTAAAGAAGATTGGAGTATGGAGGCAATACTCTTAAAACTTGTTTTGAAATGCTTTGAATATTTTTTTTGATGTAATGTAAATATTTAAAACCAAATAACTTTGTGTTTTGAAATAGATATATTTTTTGTATCAATAATAATATATTTAATTGAAATAATTTAAAACTATGTGAAAAATAACTATCCCAATTAATTATTAGTTACACAACCTACACAAAAACAAAGTTGGCCAAAATATGGTCAATAATTTTGAATGTTTTAGAGTTTAAGTTTATTAAAAAAAAATACATATCTAACTTATGATTGTTTATAATTAGAACTTAAGCATGCAAACAGCCATATAATTCATAGATTAAAGTACCATTTTACTCATATATTATTGTTGAATTCAATTGTTGTTATTATTCCATATATAATTCCTTATAGTGCCTTATAGACTCAAGGGGGATGAAGAAACGCGGAGAATGAGGGAGTGTGTGGAAAGGAGTGGGTATGGAATTAGAGAATGAGAACCAGGTTTAATGCCTACAAGGAAATACTAATTATTATCTATACTAAATTAGTGGAGCTCGCATAGTGTTCTGTGACCATCTCTCTCGCTCCAAGCCAAAGCAAGCAAGCAAAGCTCAAGGTGCTGCGAACGACGAGCGCTGACATCGCCATCGCCATTGAAGAAGAAGTCGAAGAAGAAGAAGAAGGCGACGAAGGAGGGAAAAGAAGGAGGTGGCGAGGGGGGTAGAAAGGAAAGAGTGAGAGACTCAGTCCACCAGGTTTTCCGCAAGCAACACCACATGGAGTGAAGGGAGAATTGGAGGCGAAGGCACAGCAGCGCCTGCTTCTGGATTACGAATTCGATCGCGCCGCGTCCGCTCTCCTTGTCGTCCTCGCTGCGGGAATGCCTTGTACCTCGATCGCCCTCAGGCACTGCCGTTGGGGCGTTTCTTCTGCCCAACACCCTTGGGTCACCCCCACTTGTCGTCATCCCTCTCATGCCCAATTGAGCACTGATACGCTCTGCGCTCGAACCAACTCGGCTCCGGGTTTTGTTGTGACAGGCACGGGGCTCTGAGTCTGGAGGACGTCGTGGTGCTTCTGGGTTGAGTGACAGGTGCAATTGGTCCCTCTTTGTGGAGAAGGGGAGAGGATTGTGGGCTTGGCGCGGCGAGGGGAAATTAGGGTTTGGGGTGGAGAATTCTGCCGAGCATTATGCGGGTCGGGAGGGAATCAAGTGAGGTGCGTAGATCGCGTTCCTGCGTGGTGGCAGATTATTCTGAAATCGTGACGTCCTTGTCTTTTTGTGTTGTGTAAGTGAAGTTAACGTGCTTGTGGTTTGTGCTGATCTAGGGTTGTCTCTGAATTCTGTCTGATATGCATAGGGGCGTAAGATTTCTAAGGATGGGTCTTGTGTAGGATGTATTTCAGAAGTTTAAGGGATTAAGCGTGTCTTCTTACATCTTCTCTCCTCGATAAATATCCTTAAGAATTTCTTGTTGTCTCCCGGGTGGTGAATAGTGCAGTAGTCTCGTCTTTTTCATCAAAGTTTTGCACTGACCTTGCGTTTCCATTATCCTGCCCATGAGTGAGTGGCGTTGTAATTTCATCTTTAATTGAACAAGAATCAGTTATTGGAGTGGATCCACTATTTGACTTAATAAGCAGAACAAGCAATGTTAGATGTTGTCAATGCGAGAGATTTTGTAGTATTCATTTGTTTCCAAAAATGGCAACAGTGGGTTGTACTTATTGTCTTACTCCCAGACTACCAACAATTGTGAAGCTCGAGGTGTTTTAGATGATTGCTCGTGTAGTTAAAGCAGTGAAATTACTAGAGTAGTGTGTTTGCTGGCTCAGTGGTTCTTCAGCATTGTAGTGTGAGTGCAGTAGTTCATGCGAATAATATAGCAAAACCTGAAGTTCCACTTTGCGGTCTACGTGGATTTGTTCAATCGATAGGCTTCTGCACCAGGTGATCACTGATACCGTTATTGGTTTTGCGGACAGATTGAGGAACTTGCGTGGTTGGTGAAGGATAATCTGTACACCAAACACTTGGTGCTTTCAGCTGAGGAGCTTTTTGTGGAGTTCTTACAACCCGATTATGGGTGAGTCAAATCAGCATCAAACTACTTTCTATCCTCATTCACTTGTGTGTACGATAGTAGGCGATGTCTTTACGACTGTATGCGTATGGTAAACGGATATGGTTGTGTCTGGAGAGCCTCTCAGAAGTTTACGGATATTGTGGTGTCTGGAAAGAGGTGAAAAGTTTGAGTGAAGGTGGAGGGCATTTTGTGTTCAGGTACAATGATTTGAGAGACTGTACAAGTTCAGTTGTGTGGAGGATTCTAAGGCAAGCTGCTGCGATGATGGTACAGAGGAGGAGCGAGTTTGGAGCTGGAACCGATGCTCTCGTATCAGCGCATGCTTCTACACCGTCTGGCTGATTGCTTCGGGTCTGTTTCTAGTTCGGCTTGGTTAAGCATTACAGAATTTTTGCAGAACAGAACTCATAAATCCCGTATCAGGAACTTAGTGCAGTCTTGGACGATATCCCTCAAGGCTTATTTTTAAGCTTGTGTTTTCATCGAAAATTTTGTGCGCTTGCTTTGTCAATGTTGCTTGTTATGATATGATCTCATTGGGTGATCCGGAGAAGTTTTGACAGCTTGAACATGAATGTGGATCTTTCATGGGTGTTTTATGCATTGGATGTTGTTTACTCTTTAAATCAGGGGATACAAGGATGGATGGTGGACCGTTGTTAAAAAAATTCAAACCCTAATCTTCTGTGATGTTGCAGATTAGTACATGAATCTGTAGGTGAAGGAGAGAATCGGCGTATTATTATTGAAAAATGTGAAGAGTCGAAGATGTGCGTATTCTTTATCACAAACACACCCCCCCCGCCTTTGGACTGTTTTGTGAAGTTATTATCTTACATGGTTATATTGCAAGTGGATGTTAATGTACATCACCCATTGGGCTGATTGGAAGCGTAGTTTTATCTGCTCTCTTGTACTGGATCTTTGATGTGTTCTCATTGTACAGTATTGCCTCTCTTTGTTGCTGAAGTTAACGCAACATTTGTCTTGGCATAGACCGCTGAAGATTATTGTCATGTATATGATGTCCATTTATTTCTTACCATTACTCTTGGGTGGGGCTTGGCAGACCTTTGATGCTTATAACTGATGTTTTGGAGAGCAGCTATGGAGAAGTGCATGCACCGTCCAATAGGCAACTTCTACTTCGTTCTCCTAACGAAATAGGTTCGTAACTTCTCTGAATCGCTGGAGGAACGAAGTTTTACATGGCGGATGTGAAGGATGAGTAAATACCGTACTTCTGGGGATGCCTTTGATTGGCATTGATTTTACAAAATTATAATCGGGCACGTATCTACCGAAGAGAATTTGTATTGACACCAGGTGCGTCTTTTCGTCACTAATGTACAATCTCAATGTGACCTGCAGGCGACCAAACAAATAAGTCTTCTTTGCGATCGCCTGCTTTGTCTTTGGAAGAACGAGAAGCGGCATACCAGGCTGCCCGAGAACGGATATTTTCGGATGTCCCGCATTCTGCGGATAGTCTATTGGACCAAAGAGAAACACAACGAGCTAGACCGGTACCAGTAGTGGCTCGTCGAATGATAGCTCATGCTTTGGGAAAGCCTCAAGTCTTGTCATCCGACGTGTCACCAAATGACGCGGTATTGGTGTTCTCTCATTCGCCCTTGTCTCTCTCATTTCTTATTTCGCGTCTTAATTTTGGTATTCTTTGAGGTCTTTGCTTCCAATATTTTGTCCACGCGTGTACACGCAATAGTGATAATAAGAATAATTTTTATTATTACTATTTTGATGAATTTGCTATTTATTATACGTATGTTTTTTTTACGGTTCAGGGTTCAGCCTTGGAAGATTTACCTGTATCGGCTCTAAAGGAGGCTCCAAGCCACACCCCTGCGAAAGCAGCTAGACGAATGCTGACACAAGCTCTAGGATTTCCTTTGTCAAGTCCATCTTCGCGAGGCCCTGAGAGAAGAAATGCAATAAACCAGAACGCAACTATCAGTGTTGAGGCGACCCTTAGGCACAATAATGCACCGGCGGACGTAGTATCTTGTGCTACTGGAACACCTCCAGATGACCTGAAAGCTTCGGATACTGATGAGGCTTTGCGATTAAGGAGTATTGCAGCGAAGGATGTCGATTCTTGTGGGGCGAATCATCAGTATGTGATCTTTTTCATTTCCCGTTTTTCATTTTTCATTCTTCATTTTATTTTAATTTTATGAAAATATATACCGAGCTCCGACTGCTGTCTATTATTAAAATCTAATTGCGGTATTGTATTGTTTTCGAATGCGGTTCTCTGTTCTGAATTTGGGACAGTATTCGTGAGTGTATCAGACATTCGCGGGTCTTGTTTCAAGTTCCACTATTTCGTTGTGGTTCTTTTTGACATCAATTGATGGTCGCATGAGAAGATTCTGGTTCTGTGAAATTTTTAACACTTAAATACCCCGGCAGGACTTCACGAGTAATGCCAACCAGGCCCTTTCGTAAGGATCGGGCAGGAGCAGCAGCTGGCAGAATGTTTGCTCAGGCTCTGGGCCTACCTCATAATTCTCCACAGCCAGTGGTTGCAGATTGCTTTGCTGATGGCATGGCACTCGTGGAAACTGATAGTGGAGGAGGCAACGAATCGTTGATTAATCATAATGTTTTGTACATAGCTGAAGAGAGTGTTACTTCGGTGAATCAATCTGCTCATCTAGTTGGAAGTGCTAGAAAAGCTTCAGACAAGAGAGAACGCAAAGAAAAGTCGAAGTTGGAACCCAGTAAACCTGATGTTTTAAAGGAAGACCAGAGAAAAGGTGGTAAGGGCCACAAGTTTGAAAAGCATCTTCGGCTGAAAACCCGATTGATCCAAGAAGACCAAGAAACAGGAGAGGTTTTTCTGACACACAGCCGAGTGCAATAAAAAGGGTCTTAAAGAGAACAGCTTCAAGGTTGCGTGATTCAAGCTGATGAAACAATGGATATTTCATTGGACTCCTTTGTGGGGTTTTTGCCTTGTGGCATCATTCTCAATAACTTCCTAGTGGTTTCTTCGTATACTTCGTATGGCTCGGAATTTTTTCGCTTGAGCTAGGTCACATAGTGCCTCCTGTCTGCAAGTTTTGTCTTAGTTTTGGTGTAGCATATTAGACGTCAAGATTGTACATCTATCGCGAAGCCAGTTGCTCCTTGGTGCAATTTCTTGGATCCCCAAAAGAGTAATTCTCAAGAATATGCTCATGCATCTCAGTGCATCTGTTGTGCATGAGTTGGAACTCTTTAGTAATGTCATTCATGTCTCAGTCTCTTGTGTCGATTGCTCGGGTGTTTTCTACAAAGGTTGTCGTTCTGTTCTTATCTGCAATAAAGTTGTGCTTAGCGAAGAGGTCAATGTTGTCCCTAACACGGCCCTTATTATATGACAACTCAAATCTAGTTGTGGGGTTTACATTGGGCTTTTTTCTTCAGAACATGCAGGAAGCTGTCTTTCGACTCATTCCATGGCACTATGGTGCCTTATCCATAACTATTCACGTAAGAGCCTTCCATGTGTCAGTTCCTACGAGATAGCTTGCTTCAGCAGCGGATTCCACTTGCTCCTCTCCCCTTTTCAATTTCTATCTCTTTTGTTTGCTGTTGCTGCTGCCTCTCATGCAACTGTATCGAAATATGGACACTTGCGCAAAACCCTTGGCTTTAGTCACCTCAACCTCTCTTTAGTCACAAGCATCTTTTGGTGCTTTTCTGGACAAGCTTGTGGGTACCCAGCAAAAAGGCTTTTGCTAATGTGCACCCACGCTGTGAGTGTTAGTTTGTTTGTTTGTTTGTTCGTTCTATCCGTTTCTGGGGAAGTTTCTGAGGCCAGGTCTACGAGTACAGAAGCTGGAAGCCTGCAGGTAACGTAGGTTCAGGGACCAGATTCACCTTTCACAGAGAACAGCCACGTCTCCAGAAGAGACGCCCGCAAAGTCATATACATTATATATATATATATCGAAGTGCTTCGGGCCACCCCATCAGTCGGAGGTTCATTCATACCTGGAGCTTCAAATCAGTTGGAGTGGGGCTTGGAAATTAGAGGCATCACATACTGTGTGGGTGACAAAAATTAGACTAACAATTGGCTATGAGCCTAGTTGCAATTGTCTGCCTGTCTATCTGTCTGGCTGAAGCATCCTTTAAAGCTGAAGGTCATTTCCTGTTCCAAATCAAGCGACATTTTCACTTCGAGTACGAGAACATTATCAACGTTGGTCATGATTGGGTTTTCCAAAGGCAAGTTTGCTGATTCTTCTGTTTGATGTGTATATGTAAATACATAGAGAAATAGTGAAGAGCTATGTTGCTTTAACCACTATTTAAATCCTGGAAATTCAAAGGGTTTTTTCCACATAGAAAAGCGGGTACAAAATGTGTGTTACATGATTAATTTAATACTGAACCATAAACAAGAATAAGATGTTATTTCAACAAATTATAGACTACTAGTATTGATGTCAGTAACAACAAAAGAGATATTCCAAGATGTATTTATATTATTTTTTTTGTTCAGTTTTTTCCATAATGACAAACTCACAAGGGCTGATTATTGTGCGACATGGATCAAACTTAAAACTTCATGTACAATGATTTAGTTTTCAAAAATACTCAATCAAATACAAAGATGTATTCACAAATGCACATGTGTAGTAACTTAAACATCATATCCTATTTCATTGTTCAATTTGTAAATTTGTTCATAAGACATGGACTTTTGTAACATACGTGTAAAGTAGGCAAACCTCAACAGTTATGCCCATGCACTGGCAGGTGATGAGGAGATATTTTCTCTAGAGAACGTGGTTTCCTATTCACACTCTAATGAGCTGGAGCAAGAAGTGTACTGAGGTGGTGTGTTTTATTTTAGTTTTAATATTAAATCTTGGCACTTATTCAAATTCGAGTAATATAACATTATAATTTTATACATTTCTAAAGCGTTCCAACTTATGCACAATAGATGCACTAAGGAGATGCATGAGCATATTCTTGAGAATTACACTTTCGAAGATCCAAGCAGTAGATCCAATTACTCTTATTTACCATTATTTTTTATAAATTTTTCAATAAACATAGTTTCCTTTTGAAAACTATTAACGTTTAAAAAAATAAAAAAATGTTCTTTTAAATATGCCTTCATGTTAAATATGACTGGTTTGTGGATTTGTTTACTTTTTTAAGTTTTAAATAAAAAATCATACTTCGTGGTTTTTTTAGAATTCACTTTGCAATAATGTTATGATTAGAAAATAATAAGCAAGATTGGTGTCACTAATCATATTTAAAGAAGAAATCAGTTTCTGGTTTTGAGAGGACTTGCACAAATGATATGAATGATGATAATTAAATATGGTCTCAAAAAAAAAATCAATAATAACTCTTTGTACCAAGTTCAAATTGATTTTGTCTATTATTTTTATTTTTTAAATATGTAACCCCGAGTTGATTTTACAATGTGCATGTGCTCTCATTTATTTATTATTTAATATTTGAATTTGAATTTTGGTTGTCTTTAAGATTGAGAATAATTGCACAATTATATTGATATGTTAATTGGAAATATGATGATGAACGTTAGATTAGTTAGGCAATAGTTCAATATTTTGTTATACTACAGACACAATATTGATTTTTTTATTTTATTATATATTTTTTATATATGTATCGGAATTGGAAATACAATGCACTTCAATTGATTAGCAATAGAAAATGACCTTGTTATTTGTGGTGTGTTCTGCAGCATTCTTTTTGAGAGTGAAATTCTTACCTTCATACATTTTTTTTTTTTTTTTTTCTTTTCTTTTCTCTACCTTATTCTTTGCCATAGAATCCATAACATAGTTGTTGAAATCCCTGTAAATTTCTTTTAAAAAATAATACATTTTGTAATACATTGGTAAAAAACGTTTCCTTAATAAATCAGATATACCATAAAACCAATCAACGAAAAGAGCACAAAGAAGTATACCAGATTGTTAAAAGAAATGATTCAATGCAGAAGCGATTTGCATTATGGGACGGGAATAAGCCTCAACATAATTTCACTGCCTCCAAAATATGCTTCCAATTTTGGTATGCATGAACACTCACAAAAATATCCCCTTCCTTTCTACACTAACATAATTAACCCAATGAGGTGCCACCTACTCCAACTCTTTTTAATTTACATATAATGAAACAACGTGTTCCTCATCTTATTAGTTTTATTTGCAGTTTTCTGTAGGAAGTGTCCACGTAGAAGATGTTGGTTCTAGGCTGGACCCAGTGCAGACGCGCCACCACCCACAAGATCGTAATCTGCCGGTTCACAAGATTCAGGGGCCCCTGGTCGTCGTCGTCGTCAAGAGTCAGTGAAACTGGGGATGGTGGGGAGCTGGAGCAGCTTTCGGAGCTACAGTCCACCATCTGCAGGGCAGATGGTTGCTTGAGCGGGACCACCTGGTGCTTCAGAGCCTGTCAGACTGACTGCAACGCCGTGGCTGGGAAGCTCCTTTCACCGCATTGCCGTTACCGCTATTGTGCACCTATCTATCTCTTAGGCATTCGCCATTCTCTAAGTTAGCCCATCCCCGTGATTTCAATAACTTGAAGCGAGAGCTGCGCGGAGTGAACGACAAGGTTCCTCGTCCAGTGCCGTCAAAAACGAGCATACAACATTGTACTTTATTCCTTCGCTTTGTTGTTACTTGGAGGCAGCAGGTTCTGGAGGGGGGGGGGGGGGGGAATGGGAAGAGACCAGGGAGCAGGCAGGCTCGTTTGCCTGAATCCATGGTGACGCGGTAGTCCTTGTCTGAATTACTAACTCTAGACATGCGCAGACAAAGAGGAAGGTCTCAAGCTTATTTCTTCCGGGAACAGTTCCTGGTCGCTAGGGGGGGGCTCCACATCCATCTGTGGACTACTGTAGTATTGTGGGTACATAAGGCCAAATGGAAGGCTGCATGGCTGTGTGAAGGTGCCACCAGCGCTGCCCTCTTAGCAAAGTCCACAATTATTATTGTGTTTATCTTATTTATTTTATTTATTTTATTTTTATTGCTTTTTAGTCAGCGTGTTAAGTATGTGGCACCAGATTCCGACGTGAGTTTACTGGTGAGTGCGCTTTCAGTCTACGAAATCAGTTGATTTGGAGCAGTTTCTCTCCCCCCCCCCCTCACCCACCCTACCCTTTTTCTCAAATCATTGGCCTCAAGGCGTTTTGTCAATGATTCCTCATCCTCGCGCAGTGTGACGGTCCCCTCCCATTATTACCTGCAGCATGCCAGAGATCCTCCACTTCCCTCCTTGATGGATGCTCCTCCCCGTTTGATCTCCCTGTGAATTGTGTGCGTTGATGGGAATGGAGATTTGCTGGTGGGACATGTTGGTGAGGTGAGGCAGGGAATTTCAGCCATTCCAGCCGGAGAGGGGGTTCAACCAACCTTTGATAGGTACGAAGGCTCATTCTGTTGTTCTCGGTTGCTGCCTCGGCATTCTAGATTGCGTCGCATTGAGCAACTTTTTAATTTTCTTACTTACATTGCCTCCAGTTTAGACTATGGCATCGTGGTCCGTGACTTAAATACGCCAAGTCTATGTGATTATCGACGCTTTTTCGTTGTGAACTTCGCGGTTGTCGGTACGTCTTTGAAACATTGAAGTTAATTTCGCACACACATCAGCTTGAGATAAATCTATGCATGGCAAGGGATGAGATAGGCTCCTGGAGTGCGTAAGCTTGCGCTGTTTTATAGTGTAGAAAGAGAGCATGTCGGACTCGCTTACGCTTTATCGACACCCAATGGCCTGTGGGTGTTAGATGCAGTGTGTGAGATGTGCTCTGTTGTCACACCTAAGTTGCTTGAGAGAATCCTAACAAGCTCAGCTTCTGAGGTGGAATAGACTCCTCAGACCATTGTCGCTGTTGCTCGGACTTGAAGAGAATCGTTGAATGATTGTGATTCACAGATGCTTAGAGAGAAATTATAGGTCTATGGGGGGACGGGAGTGTTGTCTGAAAGGATTTTCATGTCGTCAAGAGGAAGTTGAGCAGTGTCTGTGTCCTTTCACCTGTGACCGTTAGATGAAGAATGTGCAATATTCTTCCGCTTGCTGCAGGAGACGGCGATGGCGTGGTCAAATGCATCGCGGCGACTTTGTAAAGCCCTTGGAGCAGAAGATGTGCATCACCGAAGTGGTATGACAACCAGAAGGTTGTCAGGTTCTTGAATTGGTAGTGGGGTTGGGGTCGTCGGTGGGGGGGTCTCACAATGGCAGCTCTATTTAACTGGTTGCCACAGCTGGCCATGGGCGACGTAGCCAACGTGGGCCAGCTGGTTGGTATCAACGCAGTGCAGTTGATTGCCATGATAGTGAAAGCAGCAAAGAATGCACGCATGCACAAGAAGAACTGCCAGAATTTCGCGCAGCATCTGAAATTGATTAGCAACTTGCTGGAGCTGTTGAACCTGACGGATCTCAAGCGGCGCCCCGAATACCGAGAGCCGCTGGAGCATCTGGAGCAAGCCCTGCGCAAGGCGGTGATCCTTGTGGAGAGCTGCCGCGACAAGAGCTACTTGTATCTCGTAGCCATGGGGTGGGTATATGTCTCCAAGTTTCGAGATTACCAGGACGAAATCGACCGCTACCTCAAGCTGGTCCCTCTCATCTCTCTCGTTGAAAACAGTCGGGTATGAGCATTTTGTCATTACCACAGCTATTTACTTCACAAATGCATTTTCGGGCCCCTATCTGAATGTGGGGCAAGCGAAATTTGGACATGCACATAGAATTGTTTTTCCCACGCAGCTTCGATCCGACCCTCGTTGCTGGGATGTTTTCACATCATTCAAGCTCAGTTCATTCACAACCTTCAAACACACCGTGCGTTTCGCCAAGTGCCTCTTCGGTCCATTTGAATCAAGTGCTTATTCACACATGAATATTTATGGCATGTAATAGATTTAGGGCAAAGCGTAGCCTGGAATAACTAGGAAAATTCGACCAATCTGTTGAGGCTCGCTGGTGCCGTGGTTTAGAATTCAGTGAGTGCATAATGTGTGTCAATCAAGCATTGCTGCCAATCAATGCTTGCCAGGCGCTGGTTGAAATATTTCCAAAAGAGCATTGACATTGTCGTCAATTTCTGCATTAAATTCCTTGGTGCTCACCAGTAATGTATAAAACAGGAGCGTCTGCGAGCGATTTCGAAGGACAAACGCTCGTACACGATGGAAGATTCGGAGGTGAAGATGCAACAGACACTTTTGAAGCCCCAGCACTCCAAGAGAGACTCCCTCCGTTTGTCCAGACAGTTGTCACGCCGCTACCCTGGATTGCCATTGGACGTCGCCTTGCGGGAAGAGAATGCTAAGCTACGAAAAGAGCTGGACCATATGAAGGTTAGTAATCTTAAATTTGGTGAGCACCGACGCAGAAACCTTGCTGTCATAGTCCATCCATTCGAGATTCAATAAGTCTGTCTTTCTGTGCACTGGAGTAATGTATCAATGTGTGCCAATGTACAGGCTTGCAAGGAAGTAGAGGACTGCAACGTGATTAAACACCTAATCGACTTCACAGAAGCTACTGTGGCTGACCCTGTGATCCTGGGGGAAGCCATGTTGCAAATTCGTGAGGAAGAGGAGGAGGAACGAGAGGAGATACCGCAGAAGTCTCGCTCTGTCACGGAAACGCAGAGGAAAGAGTCGTCGCAGCGTCACATCAAACATCCAAAACCTTCGTTGTATGTGACGAACTTTAACCACATTTTGCATTTTTTGCGAATCAAGCAGCCTTGTTTTTTTATAATGCGTACCTGCATGTATTCTTGGAACGGATACAGAAAGGTCTAGATATTGATGACCCACAAAGTGAAACTCCATTCTGAAGGAACGTGGTTGGGCTTTCGATTTTGATTTTTTTGATTTTTTTGATTTTTTTTTTTTTGTTATTTTTGCAGGCCAGGCTACCCTCCTGAACAGAAGCTTATGTACGATGGTGCGGCAAGGAAGGATTCTTCATTCCCGTCGTCGCGCTGTAGTAGCATCCGGAGCAACTACCAGATCGAAGAAGACTGGCACCATGGCCTCTGCGATTGTTGCATTGAGCCCTGCTTATGTACTTTCTCCGCCCAAAACAAACATACACGTCAATAGTTTCTCATGTACTGCAGCGTAGGTGAAACGAATTGAATAATGTAATGAATTCATATCGGTGAAATTGGATCTGTCGCATCATGTTGAACAAGTACATGTTTTGGATGGTTTGGAACAGGTATGGAAACGTTTTGCTACCCTTGCGAGACATTTACTCTCGTTGCAGAGACCGCTACTGATGGCGAAACCTGTACGTTGCTCTTCCCTTGTTGGCCAAGGGACATTGATAATCTTGTCTCAGACGAGGCAGGATATCTGGTCTTTTAATCTTTACACATTTTAAACTGTATGTTCAAATCAAAACATGTGTATTGCCTATCTGTAACGTTGTAAGCCGAGGGTAAAAAGAAAAGCTGACGTAGGTTCGTAAATGTTCGCAGCTCAAGACACTGCTTGTCATCTATTGGCGTTCCATTCTCTTTACGGTGGCTGCTATTGCTACACTTGTTGCATACGTCGAAAGGTCCGGCAGCGTTTCAATATCCCGGTAAGTTCTGTAGCGTTGTAAAACTTTAAGCTTCTCATTTTAAATCCAGCAGATACATATCGATTTCGTATGCAGTTGATGGACCACTAACGACCCT